GGAGCAAAAAAGAGCCACGGATATTGCATTCTGTCTCTTGCCCTCCCTCCGCCAGATCCTTTCCTCCGACTTTTTATTTCTTTCTCACTATCCCTCGTCTCTTGTCGTCCTTTTGGCTCAATTTACAATGCTGAGGTCGAAAGTAAACACGCTTGATCAAAAAAAAAAAAAAAAAAAAAAAAAAAAAAAAAAATTCATGTTTATTAATTATTTTTATCGAAATCTCTATTGATGATTATGCTCCTTTTCAATGCACTTAATCTATTGATCAATTCGAAGCCGAAATCTGCTATAGGCATACTTAAATATAATATTGTGAGGTCTTGGCGGTCAGATTCAATGGAGTTAGCTCTAAGTTTACACGAACGACATTTTCACTAGCCAAATTCGAATTTCATCAATGTAATCGTTATTTTGAGTCATAGACATTCATACACCGAATTATCGTAAATTTACTATTATCGAAGATTTAATAACTACTTAATGCTCTGATAATGGAAAGCTCAGAGTGATATCTCGAGGATAGTTAAATTTTTTTTTATACATTATTTACACATTATTTGTATTGTTTTTTTTTTCTTTTTTAATCAATGAGTTCGTTTGAAACAATTAACTGAAATGAAAGAAAAAAAACACCTCCTTCTAAATAATCGATCCAGTATCCCGTTGAAAAATTTGACAATCAATCGTTTCACAAACATAGCCACTTGTGAATGCATCGGTGCAATGGTATCTTCATATATCTTCATGCAACCCGATTTCGATGTTTTACTTGGTCCACGACTAAAGTAATAGTACACCAGTAACAGCAGCAGATATTCCAAGCTACTCGGAGAACCACCAACGTTGATCTTTGCAAAGGGTTAAAAGGTGCGCTGGATAATGCAACCTCATTTCTCCAGTCGTGCGACATTTCATTCGCCGTGACACGTATACATATACGAGTAGGGGGAGACAAAATTCGAGAGAGTATGAAGATACGTGCCTCTTTGTTGCACGTTCGATATAAGCTGGAGCGTGTAACGAACGAAGGACTCGTTTGATCATGACGAGAAATAAATACGAGGTGGTTACTAGCTGTGCTGGTTACGATGATTTTTGATATTTGATCTATTCGAATGCTCATTTTATCGAATTTAACGCTACTCGTTAGTGATTACATTGGCTTATGTTTATGAGTCAGATAATATATCGTTTATTCAAAAAAGAAGAAAAAAAGGGGGCTGGGGGATCTTTTCTCTCTCTCTCTCTCTCTCTCTCTCTTACTCACTTACATCAACACACATACATAATCATCGCTTCTTGCGTAGTTTGCATAAAATTTAACTAAGGTTTCTAATGATTCAAATAAATTATCTTTTATCGGTGCAGTATCGCATTGCGTCATTAAGATATATTTACATTAATATAATTTAACATAAAATGAATACATTTTTAATTCCCTAATAAAATCTTCTGTTTTCATGCTTATAAATCTCTACATCGCTTAATAAAATTCATGTTTTATCCCTAATGGGTAAGGGCTTTAAAAAAGAGTGATGATAAGCGATTCATTCTATCTATTCGATGCTATTATTTCATATAAGATTATAATTTGTAAACGATTAGTACGGTTTTTTTTCTTCCTTTTTTTTTTTAACTAATTATTGTCGCGGTAATCGTTAATTTAACAATTATTTAATTAGAATTCACTATATACTTGGACCAACAAGCTCATTTTAGAAAAGGCTGATTACATTAAATGATTACTGTATACATATGGAGCTTTTATTCACCTAATCATATGTATTAAATATTTTATTAACAACAACGACTTTTCTTACAATTAATTGTATTATCATAAATATTAAAAATAATTAAGCTCAGAGTAAGTGCAATTACATGTAAATTTCAAAAAGTTGATATTATCAGCTTATATTATATTGTAATTATTATTGATAACATCATTTTAATGTTTTAAGATAGCATAGAAGATCTATAATGTTAATTTATATAGTATTTGGGTGAAGTTTAAGAGTCTAAAATGGACTACGTTGATATCTCTTTTCATTATAATACATTTAAAATGGCTAACAGCCCAAGTTGATAATAGATCGAACTTAAACCGAACGCGTTATTTATTATCTGCTAATGCACTTTTCAACACCGACGCGGATTCGTTTTATTTTCCATTTAAGGCCATAAATTCAGTTAGAAAAAATACACACGAAAACCATAAGGAATCTTAATAATAAAAAAACAGACAGCGTGTGTTAGAGGGCATCAACCGCGAGATTAAGCTAAGGTTCGGCTGTTCAGTCAGTCGTTTTAGCAAAGTGCATTGGATATGCAAATACACGTTGTATCGAGTGGAAAAGAGGCGATCGGCGCGTGTCACCTGAAGTTTTTCGGTTCCCATGCATTTCGTTCTCAACAGAAGAAGCTACTTATTTATATTTTTAGCTTTTTCTCTTCGTCGGCTCAATGTGTGGGTATGGCAATTAGCTGCTCTGAACGTGTTTGTGCATCTCATTTATTATCGGCCAAGGCTTTGGCTTTGCATTTTCTTATCGAATGCGACAAAATGGACTCTGGCCCTAATATATACAGAGGAGGTACTGCAATTGATGCACAGTCGCTCACGATTCCGCTATCCTCTTGTTAGCTTAAAATTTATCGTTTCTTTTTCCTTATCGCTTTACAACAATATAGGTAGAGTGAAAATTCTAGATTTCCAAATAAACTGAAAATGTAAATAATTAAAATTGCTCATAATAAGATGAATAATTACATCCACCACATATAATTTAGTAATATAGACAGATTAGTTATATAGTTTTTGTACAATCTTTTTAAATAATTAAAAAATATATTAAATGTAAAAATATAAATGTTTAAATTATTAATTACTATTAATTATAATAATTCGTAACTCTACTAAAATAAATTTATTTATTTTTATTATCATATTATTGCTATTTAAGTAGGACATATTTACAGACATTTATGCCCGATCATTTTTTAAATTTGGCCTTTTTTTTAAGAATTTTAGATAATTTAGATAAAAATATATATATATTATTTTGTAATTATTAACAAGTGGTTCTGATGTTGTAACAATTAATGTAAAATAATAAAAATATAAATTTTATAAACTATATAAATTACTATATAAACAAAAGCAATTCATACATATATATATATATATATATATATATATATATATATATAGTTAATAAAAATAAGATTGCGTTAACAAAAAAAGAAATAAAAAATCTTGAAACAATAGCTTCTTTCGTACCTCTTATTTAATTAAATTCAAATAAACGTTTCTATTTTCAATGTATTTTGTCTCGTAGTATTGTCGGTAAAATATTTAGCTCACCTTTTATAAACCAATAAAGCATTTCCCACCATTCTTAGTGATCATAAAGTGACGTATCGTGTATCTAGGAATGCGATTGAACCGAGATGTAAAGGAAAGTATTTCCGAAATTTGATAGTCGACACAAAAGGGTGAATACGTCCCATATTTGTGGCTATGCATTTTCTCTGGACATGTATGACGCATCACACGAGCACACATTTCTTGCAAAAGTTGCTTCCTTGTTTTGTTTTCCTTTTGATATAATTTTCATTTGTGTAACGAAAACGGCCAAAAAGGAGCGACAAATCAGCGCATACCGGGGTGAAATTCTACCACACGTATTTAAGCGCACACATGAGCTCACGCGTCTGTACAAAAATGAGGCGCGAATTTCAGAGAATCGCAGTGCCGTTCGTGGGAACCGTGAGATTTCTTCTTCGAACAGAAGAGAGCGTAGCGATGAAGATGTCGTCATCGTCATAGATGAAAGAGGGATGGGGGAAGGAGGGGAGAACGGAAAAAGGAAAGCGACGAAAAGTAAAAAGAAACAGAAGTAAAGATTGAAAGAAGGTGATGAAGGACGAAAAGAGGGAATCAAAATATGGAAATTTTTACTCTTCACGTTTACGTTTTGCATAGCCTTATACCGATAAATTAAGATTTATGGAATTATATAATACAAGTTCGTTTTTTCATCGTTTACCTTGGAGATAAATTTTCCTTAGGATTTTTTTTTAGACTAATGGATAATATGATCTTATCAATTTTAAATATTAGCGTCATGAAACGAATTATTTAATTCACAATGACTGATATTTATTTATAAATAGAGTTTTCCTTTTGCCTTTTCTTTTTCTTTTTTTTTTCTTTTTTTTTTGTTCTCTTTTTTTTTTTTTTTTGATCTTCGGAAAGAAGAGTACGAATTCTCAGTACACTCGATAAAATAAATATTAAAATTACACGCGTCTTTTTAACGAGCCATATTAAGTAGTTAAAAAATTAATTGATTTACGATTAATTTAAACATGTGTTTGCAGATTTGTTCTATTTTTATGATAAGCCAGAAAATCTTATTTCGATAACCAATTGAATTCTCAACAAAGTTAGAACTTCCGTGAAATTCTTTAATACATTTAAATATATTTCATCTAACGATTTCATTAACGGTGTGAGAATCTTAATTTCATTAGTAGTATAATTTTATTGAATATATTAGAAATTTATTGGCAGTTACAATTTATAATGCTTAATTGTAAAGGAATTTTACAAATAAATAATTTTACAAACAATTTGCAAATGTCAATTTCATTAAAAATGTGATTGTTGTAAATTAATACAAAATTAAATATTTTCAGTTAAGGAAATTTGGTGACGAAAAAATGATTATCCAGTTTACTTGTATTGTTTTTCATTATTAATAAAAAAATCGAATAAATTCAATCATTTTTATTTATTGAAATTATTAGACTTCCTTTCAATCAATAATCGTCTAAAAATTTCAATTTCAATCCATATATTAAAGATATTACGAGAACGGTATTTGAGAAAAGTTTGCTTAAAAAACAAAGAAATGGATTTTTTTTTCATAGTTCCAATGTAGTTTTTAGTGTAATAAAAATGTCTCTATACTTACTAATCGTATAAAATCGTATGATTTTATTAAATCTGACATTAAAGTCTTTAGTTTTATTTGCATACGTTAGACCGCGACAGCCGAATACAAGCATACAAGTGAATAAATTAAGATATTTCCTGATCAATGAAGAACACGAAAATATTCAAATCGGCCGTAATTTTTGAATAATCAACAAGCAATATTACCCATAATTTAGAATAAAATACACAGGCTTAAGTTTTTAAAGTGTTGTTCCTTCGGTGTGTTACAAGCTCGGTAATCTTCATTTCCATTTCTCATACGACTAAACATACCTGTTCGATAACAAGCTGTTCCAAGCATAACTAATAATTGCCTTATCATAAATTACTGGATAGCGCGATATGCATTCGACGAGAGTTCCTCCCCCGTTCATTATTCTTTTTTCGTATCTTCGTTGTTTGTTGTTTGTTTTTCGTTTTTTTGTTGCGCCCTTTAAAGCTTACGCGAGAAGGACGAAGAAGGGCATAATAGTGGAGGAGCTAGGCGAAAAAAGGTGGCGGCATGCGTGCAACTGCGCTTTCCGCAAGATCCAGAAGCAGAAGAGCAAAAGCTGCCGGGGGACCACGAAGGAAGCGCAAGAGGACGAAATGGTAGGGAAAAAAAAAAATAAAAAATAGAGGTGCAATATACGCGAGCATTCGCTTCCATACCGCCGCTCATTCGTCGCGCACTAACAAGGCGAAATTAGTCGGTACGAAACTCGTGCGGGGACGTACACGGATGCAGGACGGGAAAGAGCGCAGTGGGGAAACATGAGATAAAAGGTGGAAAGACGAGGCGAGGGACTGATAGGGATCTAGATGGCCTGGAGATTTCGAGGGCAAGGTAGGCCGTTGAGGAGTCTGCGCGCGGTCAAGAAGCAGCATATAATAATATCATATAATATAATAAAATAATAAAGAGAGGGAAAGGGCCGGGAGGTGGCGAGGTGAGCGCGGCCGCGGGGAGAAGCGAGAGTGCCAAGCGAGATGAGAAAGTTCGAGCGGCTTTGTCAGACGGGTAGTCATGTCGCTTGCACGGCCGATTAGTGGGCACCAACGATACCCACATGATAATGGCTGCGCTTTTACGATTCGGATGAATCCTCGTAACTGCGCACTTAATCATTCGTATTTATTTCTTATTTGAGCGTGGTAATTGCAAATAGTTGTCGAGCCGGGCGAGATTGTTTCTACGAGGCTGCATTGCGCTACAGTGTAGACGATCGTGGTATTGTTGGGAGGTCTTGATCGCGAGATTTCCGGAGCATGTGCCATTAATGTGGAATTATACTAGTTGTGACGTAATTGGATGATTTATTGATGATAATTAGAGGGTATAAATGTATTGCCAATTTGTAGAAACTCGTTCTGTTTTTCTTTTTTTAAATAATCGACTATTATAGAGGCTCTCTATCTGTGCATATAATACCTAAGAGTAAATGTGCGGTTAAAGAAGAGACGCTTAAAGCATTTGTTAAAATTAATGAAACTTTAGAGACTTTACAAATTTTATGATGTAAAATAATAGTCATAAAATTTTAAACTTTAGTCAGTTATTTTTGGTCATTGAAGTTTAGTGGGATCTGTTTTTATTACTTGAAGTTTAACTATGTATACATAAAAACAGTATTATATCAATATTTATTTAATCTGTGAATCAAACTTTGGTTTTTCTATGCATACAAATCTTATTCGTAATATTATGAATATATAAATTTAGAAAAAAAGCATTTGAAAGTTGCACGGAAGATATTGTACTTTATATACTTTTAGCGCCCATAAAAAATAGTTGTGATATAAGCTATTCGTTTAATAGTTTTTCAACATAGAATTAATAAATCAAATTGATTGTACCAAGATTCAGTGTTGATCCATCGCACGTTGAATTCTACTCTGTTGATTATAAAGAAATTGAAGCAGTACCATATAATTATTAATTCTATCATACTACATTTATATGTAGTTTTCGTATTTTATAAAATTGCCATTCCATACCCTATTTACAATAAATAATTACGGCACCAATCAGCGAAAATAGTTTTCGATGCAAAACTTCTCTCCAAGCTAAATAAATATTTAAGTTATTGCTTGTTTTCACGAGATAAGAAATATTATAGATTTAAATTAACCGTAATCATCAATATTTTATTACTAAATGTTATAGATGTATCTTTAATGAACTGGTATTAAAATATGTCACAATACACATTGAAATTGACGTGTTCTCATAAATCTTCTAACCTCCAAGATTCTCATTATACAAACAAGTCCGGAATCATACTTGAAAATGACTCAACAAGAAGGGAGACGACTTCTCATGATATTCTGAAAAATTTTAAAGGAAATGCGAACACAGTGAAAGAAGTGAGTAAGAGATTCCCTGGAAAGAAAACGAAAATTCGAAAGCGCGTATCAAGTGAACAACATCCCGTAATAGCAGTAGTAGTAGTAGTAGTAGTAGCAGTAGTAGTAGTAGTAGTAGTAGCAGCAGCAGGAGCAGCAGCAGAAGCAGTACTAACAACAACAGTAACATAATAAGAAGAAACAGCGGCACCTTCGATCTCCGATCCTCTGGCATTCTCATTCAGGGGACGTCCGCGGGTTTTCGGTCGCGCGCTTGATCTCTCTCTCTCTCTCTCTTTCTGTGTCTCATGCTCACTCACTGAGTCACATACATAAGCGTACATACCCTCTCTCTCTCTCTCTCTCTCTCTCTCTCTCTCTCTAACACTAACTCACTCTTTCTCACTCTCGTTTACTCTCTCTCTCTCTCTCTCTCATTCTCACTCTACCTATTGCGCGTTCTTCTCTCTTTTGTCTCGTGCTTATTGGAAGTTGTCTCGAGGGTCACTAGCAGGAAT